CCTGTTGGTATGTTCTTACATTTTTTGTTTGGGTGTCCTTGCATCAAACCACCAGCCCTTTTTGGTGAAGGGTTTTTTTAAGATTCAGTCTCACAAACCATTTGCTCGGGCTGGCTTCAAACCATGATCCTCCTGATCTCTGCCTCCTGAGTGGCTAAGATTACAGCAGTGATCCACTGGGGCCCAGCTTGTTCTTGCTTTCTTGGGTGGTAATGGGTAGATTGAGGGACCAGGTGTGAGTGATACAAACATAATGTGACAACATCAAGCCTTTTGTCCTATTCTATTGAAGTCTCAGTTGCCCTGTCATAGATATTGGTCCTTGTGAAATCAGGAGGTATATCCTTAGATGCTGAGTGTGGAATATTCTGATCAGACTCTAGGGCCCATTTCCAAGTGAGAGACATAGAATTCTTTTGGAAAAGCCAGGTGCAGGTTCTGCGTAAATACAATACATCCCCATGCTGGGGAACATAAGGTCGAGGGAGGAGGGCTGGTCTGCTAAGGATTATTCCTGGAATCACTTATTGGTCCTGGCACTCTACCAGGTGGAGTATCACTTCTCCTGTCACACAGATCTAAGGTGACAGGGCCCAGGTTCAATAGCCAGTGAAGAGTGCTGGAGGAAAGAATTGTATAGACTGACCAATCACAATCTGGTGGGAGGAGGGACCACCATCTAATCCTTGACTTTCTGGTTCCCATATTTTCTGAATCACTGAGATTTCTTCTGATATGGACTCTGTGGGACTCAATCTCACTCCCCTGTTATCTGCGCGCTTAGCTAGGGTGGTGGTCAGAATCTCAATAACCTTAAAAGCTGAAAGTAGTGTTTGTGACCAGTGTCCCCAGTCTCAGGAGGATGAGGAAGTTGGAACCTGCCTGAAGCAGTGGTAAGGGACCTTGGCCCTCCCACCACAGCACTGGAATCTGGGGTCTTAGCTGCCTGTCATGCCTTGTTCACTGGATCTTCTCTGTAGGGTGTGGAACTTAGTAGATGGGCAGAACCCTGTCATCCTGTCTTCTAACTTTCAGTAACCTGATCCATCCTGGAGTCCTGGGTGCTCTTCCCAGATGAGGTGATGATGGGAAGGTGGCAGGTTCCTATCAGAAGAAGCTGTGGTCCTTGGTGTCCCCGCTCCTTCCAAACTCATCAGGGTAAAACTGATGGCTGTGAATTACATAAAAAGTTAGACTCAGTGTCTTCAATCCACAAACACATCCCAGACATATGTTGTTTAGGGTTCTAGTAAATCCCTAAATTTATAGAGAGCTCACATTGTACACTTCACTGCAGTGGTGGTTCATTTGCAGTTGGGTTTCAAATGGTAGTGGAGAGATTGAAGACTTTTGTTAAGTTTGCAGTTGTTTGCATTTTCATTCATAAAATCTAAGAGAAAGACAACTTTGGGTACCTGCTGCTACCCGAATGCTTTTGTGAATTAGTGGGTATTTAGTCAAAAATTTAAAATTTAATTACTGTATCACTTTCTGGTGTTCATGTGATCACAACTTTTGAGATCTTTGTAACTTAATTATATGAAGAAACATAAACTTTTGACATTAAAGGTGATGTACAACAACAGACAAAAGACATAGGAAATTATTCCGTGAAATAATCTTAGGATAATTCTGAAACACATGGAAAGATCTGCACATATGTGCACAGGAGGTATATAGATGCCCTGGTAGATGTGAATAAAAAGGGTCTGTACACACGTTACTACAGTTGATGGCTACCACCTCAATCCTTTCCCTACTTTTTCCATCTTATCAATTAAACAGAGTTCTTCCATTTTTGCCTCTTTGAAATTTGAAGAAGTATAACAGCTATTGCACACAAAGGCCTTCTAGGTGCTGTCTTTGAGTGTATTTCACAATCATATGTGGTATTGAACTAAACTATTTTCACTTTTGTTTCAGTGGTCAGGGTTTTGGGATCTTTTCTAGATGTCTTCTCCAGGGTGTGGAGAAAGTTCTGATTACATTCATAGTACATCCAGTAGGTATTAGAAACAATTTCAAAACTTTATTTCACAATTAAAATTAGAGAAATGTCAGTGGAGATTGTATCAATTGCCACTCCACTCAAACATTACACTTTTCTTATGCATTTGGAATTTGAATCCTTATTTTACTCAGCTAATTCCTAAATCATGGACATAGATCTGCATTTGTATGTGGTGTTTTATGTGGAATAGACATGTGCATTTCTCAATCACGTTCTCATTCATTAGTATATGCAGTACACTAATCCTTTTGTTTGGCTCATATTGCAAATATTTAGCCTTATTGTTTTCCTTTTGCCAGTCTAAAGTATTAACATTCCACATTCATTTTGCATGTTCATTTGTTAGAGAATTTCAAAATGCTCTTCTTTTTGGGTTACTTTCAGACAGAGTCTTCATTCATAGCTCTTGAACTGGAAATGTATCCTGGGATCACATTGAACATATGCTATTCCTACCTTAGTTTTGCAAATGCTTGTATGACAGACATGTGACACCATGACTTCAAAAGTATTCAGATTTTATCTTTCGTATTTCCCATGCAATTGGATCATTGTCCATGACATTGGTAAATACAATGTGTGTTTTCAAGGAGATAGTGGGTTCCAGATTTTGTGATTTTAGCCACCGTTGTATGATGTGTCTTCTGTCATGAGTCAATTTTCTCTTACTTTAAAGCCAATGAAATATTGGTTCTCTTTCCTGTGAGGCCTATTTGCTAATCTCTTTCTTGTAATATGGTGTCCTTGATAATGTAGTTTGAGCATTGTTTATTAATATTAGACAGTAGGTCACTTCATGTTCTTTCCTTTCCTCTCTCCCGTCCGTCTTCATTATTACTCATTTTTGGCAGTGGTTCTTGAAATGTAGATTATTCTAGTGTTTAACCTGTGGTCCTGGTGGGATTACAAGATTAGGCCTTCAGAAGTTGTTCAAGAGATCATTTTCTTATTCCAGTCAATTTAAATTGCTGTTTCAATTCATGACCCCTATTATACTTTGGAAAGTAGTTTTTTTTTTCATGAGTTTTAAGGTGTATTTTGGAAATTCCAGAATTGTGTACATCTAGTTTGAAGTAATGACTTGTTGAAATCCATCTGTTTCTAGGGGCACATGCCATATTTCTCCTTGCCACATTATGCTTTTACATGATAAAGCAAAAACTAATTTTATTTGATCCTTCATGAGTCTTATTTAGCATTAAATTTGGGTTACTCTGTAAGAAACCAGGTAGAAACTTCCACGTGTCCTCTCTTCAAACGTCACCAAGGGAGAGCTCAATTTAAAAAAAAAAATTGATAGATATATTAAATATTTGTCATACCAATTATTATTCACAAGGAGTGCATTGCAGGTTGTCTTACTATAGACTACCTATGGTGAACATTGCCAAAATGTGCAAATAATCATAAATAGTGTATACAGAATAGGACATTGTTGAAATAAATTGCTTCAGGACACTCTTCTTTTTTTACAGTTTACATTTAGTTTGTTGAGGTTCATCCCATTAGCACTTCTACAATAACAGTAGACAAGAAACTTTTACTCATGCATTTATATTATTCAGGCAGTCTCTTTTCACCTGATATTATCTAATGGGGACTACATAGAAGGAATTTATTAGTAGATTGCTACAATCCAGTGTATAACATGTAATTTTTGTGACCATGATGTGCTTTGAATTCAACAGATAGGTTCAGTGAGATGTCAGAATTAGTATGAAGTTTCTGTGAGTGTACATGGAGAGTGAGAGTGTGATAAAAATAAAATGCATTGAATATGTGGAGACCACATCACCATGTGAATTTATTACACAAAAATTGTTTCCACTCACAACTTTTCTCACAAATGTGTGTGGGATATTTTAGGAGCCCCTGACCATTGAGGATGTTGCTGTGATCTTCACCCTGGAAGAATGGGGCTTTTTGGATGCTTCCCAAAAGAAGCTCTACAGGGAAGTGATGCTGGAAACCTACAGCAACCTGTACTGCATAGGTAAATGTGGCATCATTACCTTATTCAAAGTATGCACTACTGTATTGGCTGATTGGTGGTGTTGCCTCATTGGGTGCTTAAAAAGGGACAGTAATGGTCATATACATGCCAGATCATATTATACTATGAAAATAGCTGAGGTCTCAAATTGTTTTTTCGTTTTGATTAAATACTAATGATTTCTCTGTGTCTGTATCTCACAAACAAAAGAAGAAAATGTAAATATTGAAGAGGACTTCAGGAATCCCAGAAGAAATATGAGGTAATTTGTACCCATAAAGAAAACAGTGAACATCAGAAGTGGCATGACAAGAAGTTTGAAAACCAAGGAAATGAGACCCAAATTTCCAGTTGTAAATTGCTGAAATCAGTGAAAATTTTCTCTAAGATTGGAGAAATAAGTTAAGCATCAAGGATCAGAAAATTTAAAAGTTTATATGTGCCATTTTGTCCTAAGACATCACAATAGTCCAATTGCTCAATGTACAAAAATAACCCCTCTCTTTGCACAAACTTATTTAACTATGTTATGTCAAATTCCATCAGAGTGGGAATATCATGTTCCCTGGCCTAGACTGGCATGTTTTTCACCCTATCTCCTCATGTTCATTCTTGTATTTAATAATTGAACATGCTTTTGATGCAAGACATCTAAATAAACACTTTCAGCGTATTTCACTGTGGTAAAACTCATTCAGTGTTGTTAAACACCTAACATGGCAATACTATTATGGAAACACATATGAACACCACTGTTTTGATAATAGTTGTCCTCAAGTGTGTTCATAAGTCCTTCCAGTAATGAACACCATCACCTCTCTTAATAAATTATCAATAGGATAACAAGGGTATCTTTCTCTTTTTTATAGACCTGAAGTGTTAGAGAGACTGCATGAACATATGCAACCTATTCAATGTGGAGAATCCTTTCAACAGACTCCAGAGAACATTGTAGGCAAGGGAACTCTAATTAAAAAAACACCATGTAAAAGCTATATGTATAATGCTTATGAGAAAAACTTCACTGATTGCAAGGCTCTTGTAGTCCATGAGAAGAGGCACAATATAGTGAAGTCTCATGGATGTAAGCAATGTGGAAAAGCTTTCATTCAATATGCTACCCTTCATATTCATCAAACAACTCACATTACAGAGAAACCCTATGGATGTAAGCAATGTGGGAAAGCCTTTAGTCATACCAGTTACCTTCAGAAACATAGAAGAACTCACACTGGAGAGAAACCCTATAGATGTAAGCAATGTGGGAAAGCCTACACTACTTCCACTAACCTTCGCACTCATGAACGAACTCACACTGGAGAGAGACCCTATGCATGTAAGCAATGTGGGAAAGCCTTTACTTGTTCTAGTACCCTTCGTACACATGAAAGGACTCACACTGGAGAGAAACCCTATGCATGTAAGCAATGTGGGAAAGCCTTTACTCATTCCACTAACCTTAAAATACATGAAAGAACTCACACTGGAGAGAAACCCTATGCATGTAAACAATGTGGGAATGCATACACTTCTTCCATTGCACTTCATAGTCATGAAAAAACTCACACTGGAGAGAAACCCTATGCATGTAAGCAATGTGGGAAAGCCTTTGCTAATTCTGGTCACCTTCAGAGACATAGAAGAATTCACACTGGAGAGAAACCCTATGCATGTAAGCAATGTGGGAAAGCCTTTACTCATTCCAGTCACCTTAAACTACATGGAAGAACTCACAATGGGGAGAAACCCTATGGGTGTAAGCAGTGTGGGAAAGCCTTTGCTCATTCCAGTCGCCTTAAAATACATAGAAGAACTCACACTGGAGAGAAACCCTATGCATGTAAGCAATGTGGGAAAGCCTACACTTGTTCCACTACTCTTCGTGTTCATGAAAGAACTCATACTGGAGAGAAACCGTATAGATGTGAGCAATGTGGGAAAGCCTTTACTCGTTCCAGTCCCCTTCAGAAACATAGAAGAACTCACACTGGAAAGAATCTGTATGGATGTAAGGAATGAGGGAAAGCCTTTACTCATTCCAGTCACCTTTAAATACATGAGCGAACTCACAGTGGAGGGAAACCCTATGGATGTAAGCAATGTGGATAGGTGTTTACTCATTCTGGTAACCTTCAGGTACATGACAGAACTCACACTGGAGAGAAACCCTATGGATGTCAGCAGTGTGGGAAAGCCTTCACTCATTCCAGTCACCTTTGAAGCCCTGGAAGAACTCACACTGGAGAGAAATCTTATGGATGTAACCAATGTGGGGAGTGTTCACATGCCCCACTACCTTTAAAAGATAAGAAGGAACTTACACTAGAGAGAAAAGCTGTGGATATGAGCAATTTCCAGTGACATTAACAAATGTGAACTCACTCTGCAGAGAAACTATGAGTGCAAGGAATGAGAAACAACCTACACTGCGTCGAGTATCCTTCATACTCATCAAAAAACTCACCCAGAATAAACCCAGTGGAAGTAAATAATGTGGAAAGCCCTCCTTAGTTCTAGTACCTTTCTTGAACCTGAAAGAACTGATGATGTAAATAAACACTAGAGACATAACAAATGTGCTAAAGCATTCACATATGTCAGTTTTTTTGAAAGACATGAATGACATCAGAAACTTTATCAATGTAAACAATGTGGGAATCCTTTCACCTTTTACAATAATCTCCTTTGAAATGACACAATTCACATTAGATTTCAATGCTGTACATGTGCATAATCTGGCTAAGGCTAGCCTTGACACATTCCAGTGCTGCTCCAAAACAGAAAATTAACAATAGAGAATAGGACTGGATGGGATGTGTGGCTTCAAGGAGGATTCCTTTCAAGCAATATGGAAAGTCTTCACTCATTTCCATGACCTCAAACATGAATATCCTCATACTGGAGAGAAAATCTATATGTGTAAGCATAATGAAGCTGTCTGTATTCAGTTCACTATCAAACAAATGAAATACTACGATCTATGACAAACCTTACAAGTATAACATATATGGGAATGTCTTCTTTCAATTCCACTACCAAGAAATATATGCAAGGTATCATATTGGAGCATAACTCTATGTATTGAAGTAATGAGGGAAGGCTTCACTTATCCTGTTTCCTTTTAGCAACATGAAGGTACTCCACTCTTGCACTCATGAGACTGCTAACTTTTGTTAGCAATAACATGCCATGTTACCTGCTTTCCTCCAAAGACATGATGAAAAATGATATGAAGAGAAAGCTTGCCTTAACGTTTTGTGTGTGCAGGGAAGGGACTCCACCCTCAAGCCACACAACACATCCAATCCATTTTCTCTTAATTATTTTGGAACAAGGGCCTGGGCACAATTTGCCTAGTATGACCTCCAACCATGAATTGTCTTTCATTAGACTTGGTTGTAAATTTTTGATGCTTTATAAGTAACCATGTAGAAGCTTCCTAATATCTATTGGTACAGTCACAGGAGATGTGCTCAGTTCCTTTTTTCTCATGAAAGAACTCGAGACAATCCTTATGGATATGGGAAATGTGGAAAAGCATTCACATACTCCTACTGGCTTTATGGGACTCATACAGGAGAGAACTTCTATGGATATAAGTAATGTGGGAAAATTTTTTTTACTCCAGTGATTTTAAGAAACATGAACAAACTTATATTAGATAGTAAATATAGGAAAGCAAGATGGGAAAGTCTTCACTTACTCTCATACCATTAAACCATGAAAGTCCACACTGCAGAGAAAACCTATATCTTTCATCATCGTGAAAGTGCCACTCACCTTTACAATAACTCACAGTCACAAACCTTACATATGTAAGCCATGTTGAGATGTCTTCATTATCAGAATATATATGAAAGATATCACACTGGTAAGTTCAAACCCCTGTATCACAAAAAAAATATAGTGTGGTGCAGGCCAGGCTTGTAACAACAGCAGCAAAAGGATCTCAGTGTCAGTGCCTCATACCTGTATTCCTAGATAATTAAAAGGCATAGATTAGGAGGATTGCAATTCAAATCCACCTCCAGCAAAATTGTTCATGAAACAAAATGTTAAAAGAACCCATCACCAAAAATTTCTGGTGGGCTGGCTCAAGCACTAAGAGTGCCTTGCTAGGAAGTGTGATTCTGTAAGATCAAACACTAGTCCTGCCCACCCCCCTAAAAAATAGAATTCCCTTAGTTTTCTTCCAATCCCTTTGCATATTCATACATGCATGTGAGAGGGGCAAATATACAAACATACATGTGGATTTCAATGTTCTATTGGGAGGCAGTAATGTGGGCAGATGTCTGAAATCATCACTTCTCATGAGACTCACAGAAAATGACCACATGACAAAAGTCCAAATATAACCAGTTCTTGGGATCACTTTAAATTTCCATAGGGCAGGAAGTGAAGTTATAGAGTAAGTCACATGCAGCCCTCAACGCTTTTATTCATGTACATGAGAATTGCCTAAAATATGTCTTCTGGACAGGTTTCATGTTCCAAGTGCTAAAGCACTTACAAGTATGCATAGGGTCCTAAATTCATCCCCAAATGGTGAAAAAGAAATAGGAAACTGCAACATGTGGTTCTTCTAGCAGTTGGGATCACTTTATAGGCTGAGCTCACAATTTTATAATAAATTAGCTTCCATGTTGCTTTTCTAGCTCTAATCTCCTATTACAATGTTTCTTGGCATTAAGTAGAACTTTGAGCCCCTGCTATAGAGCCTGCTATTTGTAAATCCACCATACCAACCTTAGTTTCATGATTTTCCAAAATATTGAGCTCAAGCACCACAGGGGCCAGATTTTCTGCATCCTTCAGCCCCTTCCACAGGGATTGCTATTTTTAGATCCACAGTAGCAACCTTAGCTTCATGATTTTCCAAACTCACTCTATCAGCCCATTAACAACTGCACATAAGGAAAATGATGAATGACAGTAACTGTATAGAGGATGGCAGGGAGGGCCATCCTCTATACAGTTCCTGTTCCTGCACCTGGATAATGTTATTTCACAGTGGACAGAAGGCCTGGAGTGTGGCTCAAGGGGTAGAGTGCCTGCCTACCAAGTGCAAGGCCTGAATTCAAATGCCAGCATAACAAAAAAGTGGATGAAGTGACTCCCAGCTACTGTGGAGGCTCTGGCCAAAAGATGACCAGTTGAGTTCCAGCCAGGGCCACTTAGTGAGATCCCATCTCAAAATATAAAGCCTAAGCAACGTAGCTCACCACTATATAACTCACCTAGCCATTATGAGGCATTGGGGTCAATTTATAATAATACACATATACAAACATTAACATATGAATCGAAATAGAGAAAGTGTAGTGACATAAGCTGCAAATCTACATTGCAAAGTGTAGGAAAATGAAATATAAGTAACAGGAAGAATATGTTTGATATCCTAGCCATGAAAACAAAATGGAATGTAGAGAAAGTAAAAGTAAAATGAGAAGGCAGAGCTGGGAACTTGTGGTCCACATCTATAATCCTAGCTACTGAGGAGAATCATACATTGAAACTACACTCATACAACAGGGCTACATCAAAAAGTGCCCAAGACAAAAAAGGGTCATGGAATGACTCAAGTGGAAGCATGCCTGTCTCAAGTCTGAGGCAGAGAAAACCAAAGAAGATAAAGATGTAATGAAAGTTTAAAACCACAAAAACATACAACCATTGAAAATATTTACAAATATACTAGAATTCCATGTATATCCATTATCCCTTTAATTTTGAATTATCTAAATACATGAAGTAAAACACATGGTAGATTAAAAACCAAGACCCTATCTTGTGTTTAAGAAAGGCACCTTCATAAAAACCTTAGTGTGCCTGTGCACTGGTGACTTATACCTCTGGGCTACTAAGGACACAGAGATCATGAAGAACTTGATTTAAACCAGCCCAGGGCAAATAGTTCACAAGTCCTTGTCTCAAAAATACTGAACACAAAAAAGGCCTAGCAGAGGGGCTCAAGCTGTACAGCACCTGCATAGCAAGCATGAGGCCCCATGTTCAAACCCTACTAACGCCATAAATAAATTTTAAAAAGACCTAGTGTGGACTGTGTGAAGTAATTGGTGTAAGGACTAAAAGTTTCATTTCCATAGGAGAAATAATTCCCAGAGAGCCGTATGTTGATAATATGTAACAAATTGCAAGATGGCAAAAGTTTTTCAGACTGCCGGAAAATCATCAATCAACAGTTTCATTTGAGCTGTGTGCCTCTGTCTGTCATTTGTAATTCTAACTTCTAGACCATTTTGGGCAAATAATTCTTTATCTCCAAAATAACCCAAGAAAAATACACTGTAGGTGTGGCTCAAGCAGAAGAGTCACTGCTTTGCCACCATGAAGCCTTGAGTTCAAATCCAAGTCCCATCAAATAAAAAATTCATTTAAACACTTCAACACACCAGGAGGTGAACCATGAAGAAAGCAAAAATCAGGGAAGGGAAAGGTTAACTTTAAATTTCATCTACCAACAGGATTAAATTATTGTTGAGTATCATCTTTTTGTGATCGAGAGGAATAGTCACAAAGATTTGCAGCTTTCTGTGCAATAGCATGAACATCTGTAGATACCAGGATCTGGAGTTCCCTGAGGAGTGTGATGTTGCAGAGTCATTGAAAACAGATGAACCAAATGTGCATTAGTTGAGTTCTCTCCTTCCTGAGCCACCAATGCCTAGCTGCAAAAAAATTTTTAATAGCTTCAAAGTCTTTTTTGAACTGCAAATATGCTGATTGTTCAGAACTTTTACTGAACCAGCAAACTAAACTGCCTAAACTTTGACCCTCCCACAGTTTACCAGGGATTTAGTTTCCTAGCCTACAGTGGTTTACACAGGTAATTAATCCAGCAACCCATGAGGCAGAGATCAGGAGGATTGCAGTTTGTGGACCTTAACTTGAAAGTATCCTACAGAAAAAAAATTGTTGGCCAGATGGCTCAAATTGTAAAGCATCTGAATTGCCCCGGAGAGAAAGTCTTGAAACTGAAAGTTCAGTACTCTCTCTGCCCTCCTTGTTGCTCCTCTATCTTGAGCAGAGGATCACATGGCTCTTTGCTTATAATAAATTTCCTTGATACGTATGTGTTTCTTCTAGA